ACTTTTTGTGGCTTTGTTGTTCCTCCCCTCAGTGAAGACAGAAGTCAACTATAGAGCTAAGGATAACTATCACAAGGCCTGCCATTTGATATAAATATTTCATATGATTTTGTAATAGCTTTCTCCTTAAGGTCACTCATTGAGCAAGATTCCTACCTGTTTGTGGAATGTCTGTTTACATCATGATTTTTAGCCAATCCCATTATCAGATGTGTATTTAACCCCTAATTACCAAAATTGGTAAGGTTAATATCTGCCCATGCATAAGAACCGGACTTAGCAAGCTCGATGCTAGTGGGAATTAGTAATTAGCTGAAGAATTCTAATAACAATCTATCCCCCTATTACGAGAACACCAACAGCAACAGAAATGAAAGTAACCATAAAATTCATAATGGACAATCAAGTTCATTGATACTTCGAAAACGTTTAAAATCTCATGCCTTTTTGGCCTTAAGTCCGTCGCAGCAGTTAAGTTTATTGAAGTTGATATGAGGGCATTTTCAACGGGCTGCGAGCTGGCATGAAAGGGGACTTATCATTAGCTAAGGAATGCACCTGTTCTTCACAAATCAACTATTATAAATTCGGTTATGGGAATTTATGTGAAAGCGTGCAAATAAGCACAACATTAATATTATGCCATAAGCACTTCAACTGCACATCAAACCTCATTGTAGATCAAAGCTCGACGAAATCAATTTTCGGTAATTAATTGGCCCTTAACCTGACCAATCATATTCTGATATTGATTTCCAATGGCAAATTCAATCTTCTCCAGTAGATCACAATCTGATGAAAACCATGTCTTGTGTATAAATGATTCCTCAATTATTACCAATATATCTGGTCTGTTCTAAATGCTAGACCTGTTTAATTGCTGTCTTCTTCAAATCCCACCGAGGACCGAGCAGCTGTTTCATCCATCAAACACTGGCTTGGTCATTTAGTTTAACTGAAATACACTTCAAGCTTCAGCTACAATGGTTTGAATATTGTGCGTTGACGTCACGCTCAATCTTATAAAGTAAGATTTGCAGTTGTTGCTATAACCCATGACAATTCATTGTGGAGAAGCGACTGAAATGAGGTAATGGGAGGAGTTCAAGAGGAGTGCCAGCGTAGTTAGCTCATCTGATTTGCGAATTCGGATTATTGAATACTTATTAAAAGGACGCTAGTTAATGAGCAAATTTTAAAATAACGTTACAATCTCCCCCCCCCCTTGGATACTATTTAAACTCAATACAGCTTGACCTAACGCCGAGTTTGCACGCCAGATGCAATCGGGAGTATTTATAGCTTTCAAATGGGAATTGGCCTTCCACAGGCTTTCCAATTTTTGTAGCACTTGGTGAACCTTCGAAGATCCTAGACTATTGGCTTGGCTACTGCTTTCACCTAATAACAAGCAGGTAAATACCAAGGTAGCCCACATTCCTGTTGGCGATCAGTAATACCAAACCAAGGATATCCCCTCTCTTATATTGAAGGCATACACCCGCAAGCACAAAAAAATACGGAATTAGTAAAATTGGAAACTTTTTATTCTTAATAATAAGAAACCAGGAAATAAATGTTCTATGAGATATGATTCACCTAGGCGGACAAAGAGACAACTACATTTGTTCTACTAGAAAAGAGCCTAATCAAGTGATATCTGCTTCAACGTTGCATGCATCAATTTCATAGTGTATAATTTTGAGGAAAGAATAGATACATTTCAAAGTGCTCGAGTTTAAAAAAACTTGGGAAAGAAAACAACAGACTTGCACCACTTGCAGGGGAGTGGGTTGATATATAACACAGCCAGAGGAAGATTAGTTAAGTTAAACACATTCATTCGTCAGACCTAAAACGTACTGTTTATTCCTAGTAGGTATAAAGCGGGAAGATACGTAGATACAAGTAGAAACCTGCTACATGGCTCAATTGATAACGACACATATGTACAGTGGTGGTGGATGGAGGGGGGTAAGGGAAGTGACAAGGCACAGACTTTGAGAATTGGTGGGGGGGGGGAACGAATCTTGCTGCCTCGAAAGGAAATGAGGTACACAGCTTTGTATCTAGTCATCGTCAATTTCCATGTCGCTGTTTACCTCAGCACTTCGTTGCTGATGAGTGAGATTGGTAACAGTGGTGGCAGCAGCACGGGAATCATTGGCAACAGCCTGTTGAGATCGGGATTTGCTACGATGACTGCGAACATAGACCGGTCCATGTTTTAGCATGTAGGAAACAACTTTACTATTTAGTTTTTGCAACAATTTCGTATCCAAGACAATGCTCTCGATGTCTGCGGTATGAGCACAAAGTTCCCTGGTGAACTTGTTAGCAAACTGAAGTGATAAAACAACAATGCGAGAATTAGAGTGAAGTCTATGAGATTGTGTAATCAAAAAAAGGAATAGGCACTAAACAGTAAAGGTAAACTCACACCATTGAAAAATTCTATCTGTGAAAGCATCAATTGAATTTGAACACACAAGTTCAAAAGCCCTTTCGTGTTATTTTTAATTAACAATTAGCTTCGCCTTTTTCAAACAAAGTAGGATATTAAATATAACCTCTATCTTTTGGCGATATTCCACCAAGAAGCGCAGGTGAGATTCAGATCCATCCCTTCCAGAGACCATAACTATCATCAAACTAAAAGCTAAATTTTTGTGGAGAAAAAAGTGCACAAAATCTCCCTTTGAAGATATTGCGAACAAATGGTAAGGCCTAGATTTCGAGAAATTTGTTCACAAACAACGATATCATATTAAAGAATGTCCACGTAAAATAAAAAAAGAATTCCAAAATCATAAGAGACTCAACATTATAAGGAATCCATCAAACACTAGGTTATTAAGGAGATAATAGTGACTGTTTCGTTGACGAACATGAATTTCTAAAACATCTATTTGAGAAGAAAGTTAAATATAAATATTAATGACACGGATAGTGGGGACCAATCATAGCGGAAATATCCCAAATGCAGTGTCAGATACTAGTGGTATTTACTCATTTAAAACGCCTAAGGATGTATTTACCTTCCAATTAAGATTTAAGGAATTCCTTACCACTGACTGTTTCTAGAGGATGGAGTTTGGCAATTGAAAAATCCTAGTAATAAGGAAGATCCTATCATCACGAATAGATCGGCATGTTCATCTTAACTCTTGTGAAAACACAAATGTTTGCACCTACCTTCAGAGCTAGTTCTCATATTGATCTGGGACTGTTCAACTGTCTGTCAACTTTACCTATAATAATCTATCTCATCTCTTACTAAACTTCAATATTCATTTGTTTCCACTATATATTCAATTGACTCGCTTCTCTCCAGTTCTATAGTTATCCTAATCCTGCAGGTCCGATCTTTCGGCCACCTTGCAGTACCTACTTGCTTTGCACCCCCTATTCTTTGGCTAGTTAAAATCTAGAATGAACTCAACATATGTTCCCAATTTTAGACTTCGAAATAAATCTTAGCTCAGGCGTTAGGTGGTTAAATGGTAATACAGTTGACTTAGAAGGATAATGTTCAACAAGACTCAATTACGATTAAATTAAGAATAACACTTACCCCACTGGCAACATATTTCAAATCTTCATCACTAGTCAACCGCCCTGTGAGGCAATTCGGGCGTCTAAATTGTTTCAAAGTATTTACATTGTTCGCATAGATTTTTTCAAACAACTTCCTAAAAGTGGGATTTTTCGACAGCGAAACCCTATGAGAAGTAGGTGGATCCCAACGCGTCTCCCTGGTACTAGTATTGTAGTAATATGTTTTCCCTGATTGAGGATCAGTAGCGGATTTCCATTCAGCGTCTTTAGAATCATTTGCTACGTCCCCTTTCGCGGCTTTAATTACTTCATTCAAATATTTCTCTGCCTGAAAAGAGAATGAAGAATTTGTTTATAGGACACGCTACTTATTCAGTTTAAGTAGACACAACAACAAACCATTTTTTCGCCGGTGTTACGATAGTACTCTTTGACTTTGGCCAACATTTGCTCTTTTGCAGCCGCCTTCACAGCTAAGAAATCTTCATCTGGGATAGTGTATGTCTTCATAACATGTCTTAAAGCCTCTTCTAAAAGATCCAGCAGACTTTGAGGGATTGTTAACGGGGAAGTTAGGCCTATTTCTGATTTGAAGGGAGAAGAAAAAGATTTATTTGCATCAGATACAGTCTTAGGCATTTCGACGTTAGGCTTTCGTTCGGGAGAACTTGAACATTTTTTGGGAGCGAGGACATTGCGTCCAGTACTGTGATTGCTTTTGGATCTAGGATCAAATCTTCTTCTCTTAGAATAGCTATGGAATAAAAATATAAGCATTGTTAGATAATGCAGAGATTGGGATGTGCTGGTGGTTCAAATGAAGAAAAAGCCTGACAAACCAACATAATTAATCAGAGAGCCAATAAGTAAAGGACATCGTGAACACGAATTCAATCCGAAAGAGAGAAACAAACTGAGGAATAAACAGATGCACAAAATCTTATAAAATAGGAAAAACTTTATTCCCAACTTCGATTCCAACCGTTTCTTTAACCAAGGGCAGTTAAAAGTTGATTTTTTAATTGGTTATAGGTAATAGACTATTACACTACAGCCGTATTAAGACAATCGAGCCAATTCTTCTCGCCACCCTCACAATAGCGCTGGGAATACCTAACGGTCAAACTAAACACCTCAAGAATTAAAGCTTAGTACTATGGTGTTGCAGAGACACAAAGTTTCAAGCTAGACAGGCTAATTGATTTTGAAAAGTCGGCAGCCATGTCTTCAAATGTGACGTGTTAATTATTTGTATATTTTTTCTAATAAAAGGTTATTGTCATTCAAATATACTTTTAAAAATAGGGTCAAACCTATACTGCAAATGACGTGTTTTATGCCAATAATGACTTCCTTTGATATTATGTCAACTGACATAAGAATTGAATATACTGTCATCTCCATCCCACTTAGGAAAGCGTGTACCAGCTCATATTGTGGGTGCCCCATCTCGCAATGTCAATGGAAGCCAAACATTAACCATTGCATTCGACCATTCCACTCATAAAAACTGTGACATAACTTCTCGAGCAAGCATGTTTTAATCGCTGTACCACCAACGCTCAGTAATAGATAGTAATAAAATTATAATTTACCTTTTCTTTGGTGAATCAGACGACATACGCCACAGTCGATACATATCATTGTTGCTGTTTTGTGAGGGAACACATTGGTTAACCAATGACAGGGGTGGTGATCTAGAACGAGATCTCTCTCCGTTCGGTTTATGCTCCATTCGGGGAATTCGAAATATTTTCAAAGGAAGACTTGACCAACGCTGATGAATTTGTGAAGCCAACTGACGAATACTCTCGATCACTTCTCGCTCAGTTGATGGTGAGTAGAGTTTAATTGAGTTCGGATCGAATTCCGTGCTGTTTTCGCCATTTCTCTCCACGTTATCATCTTCCACATTTGAAGATTTTTCAATTTCATTTTGGCTATCTGAATGCTGTTGCTCTTGTTGTCGATCAGCAGTAAGTGCTTTCGATTCAATCTCATCTGCGTTCGACCGAGACTTGCAGTAGCGGGGATCTATCGACCACTGCTTTACATAACCCATCAAATCCGAGTTCGTTTGAACTTGTTGTTGTGCAGTGACCGGGATCCGATCAATACATTGAAGGATCTTTAGCTTCATTTCCCAGTCAGTGGTGCTGGTATCACACATGTAAGAAGCAAGAACCTCAAGGCCATTATAAGTTCGAAAAGCTTTCAAACAGTCTGCGTTCTGAGTTTCTATGACAACATTCAATAATTCCTTGCGGCTATAACGCGTGATATAGCCTTGTAGCAGAACCTGGATCAGATTCGTTACATCGTTGGTACTTTTTAAGGTTTCACCTTCTAGAAGTCGGTTGATCAAACGATCCACCTATAATAGTAGGTACACATAAATGTTCTGATGCACACACACATACAACCTTGTACGCACATTTTTTGTCTAGAACTTACCACTCGGGTATCCCGTAAACAGACCTTATCCCTAAATTGCTTGTCCGTAAAGCCCATAACGCCTGTGCATGAATTGCTACCGCAGTAGCACTTTTGCTCAGTCCTACCATACTGTACGAAATTGTAATCGATTGTTATCTCTTCACCGACTCCGATATCTCGTGAAGCGAAGAAGCCAACTCTTGGTAAACCTTGTACTATCCACTAAAGCAGGTTACGCATTAAGCACAGCAAAGGAATTTGATCATACCTTCTCAGTCTCGGCATTGGGTTCACAGGAGTGATTCACAAAGCGCGACCAATTACCCTTGGTTCCAGAATCAATAATGAAATCGGGAGCTACTGACATGAAGTAATGATGTGGCTGCTTCATCTTGTTGTAGTGACGAACGCGACGTTGGAATTCGACAAAATTAATCACTTCCCCGGCATATTCTACTATGAAAGTACCTCTAAAAGGAAGCAGAAAACACTTAAATCAAATTCCGGGTTTTTTTTGAAAATCCGCCCAGGACGATCAAACGGAAAATTCCATTTCATAAAACTAATTTTTTGATTCAAATAACCGCCAACTCAAAAAGGGCACGTGGGCGGACTTTCAGAAAACCCCGGTACTAAGTTTACAATGCTTCCGCTTAAACCAACGTTATGTGACCGACGGTTCAATTTAATTAATCAGGTAGCAGACTCCGAATACCACGATGGTGTGAATTCAGACAAAGTCACGAAATTAGACTATGAAAATTGAGCTACGAAGCATTTAGATATTCTAAATATACTAAATTCCCATGTTACTTTTGACGGAACCAGCCATTGTGACAAGGTGGCTACTTTCTCTCACTCGTGTGCCCTTTAATGAATGCCTGTACACCTTTAATCCTTTCATAGATCCTATGGCCCTGTCATTCTGCCTTGCCTTAATAATAGTACGTTATTCAATCGATCCTCATTTACAAAACATTTCCCACAGCATTTATATCAACTAACCGCCCCTAAGCTAAGATGAAAAGACGTCCCTTTTGTGATTAAGGCATCTACCGCAAAACTAGTCACTGAAAACGATCCACCCCCACCCTCCTCCTCCAACCGACTGCACAGTTGCATAATCATATTAGTGGAAGGTTATCTATGAGTATCAAACTCGTGACCATAGATACGATGGATATGAATTTTAGTGTTACACAAGTGGCATACATATAAGAATATCGGCAGGAAAAGGAACATTTTCAATTTGACTAACTTATTTGTAATAGATGCACGATTTCTTTGCCAATAAGTTGAAAATATTCTGCGTAAAGAAGCAAAGGGATTTATGAATAACAGAATGAAACTCACTTAGAAATATCTTTCGTAGCCCTAAGACCCCAACCTTTGTGAGGGCCACAAAAAAACGGTTCTGTGGGTGCATAAAGTCTTAATTGAAACCGTCTATTCGAGCAGAGAAAGCGGGCCGGACATCTCGAGTCACATTCCATATGGACACACCGATTGATACAGGCCTTTCCACAGGCTAAATGACCAGCAGCTAGTTCCTCTTTTGATGGAGACGCGCAAGTGCACACGTAGTCGCCACCAGTACCTCCACCGAAGTGCTGTCGCAGATGGGAGATGGGTTCGATGCCCTGACGACGGAGTTTATTCTCGTAATCACCGTAATCGTTTTCAAGGATGTGGACATACTGAGGAGCTGGAACACCAGCTGCTTGTCCAAACTCTTCTATTGGTCTTGTCTCGAAGGGTCTACAAGCAAAATAATAAAAATAACTGCAAGAATTTTAGTGAACAATGCGATGCTAATAGCAACGCTGACGATATCAATCGCCCACCCAAATTAGTCAACTGGCTCTAAACTGATACATTACTCAGGAACCTAGGAACATTCAGCCATAAAACAGTGAACTATACACAGTAAGAAGAAAATACCAAATGAAGTAAGACCTTTGACACCCTGAATTTATCCCCAACATCTGTTCCACCTTACCAGCAACTACGTACTCGGGAAGCAATTAATGTACACAAACTAACGTTAATGCTTCCCACTCCAACTCAGTTAATGACCCATATACTCAGATACACTCGCGTAAATAAACTTTTATGCCGTCTCAAGGTGATTAATGTGAATAACTCATGAAAAAAATTATCTGTGGGACGTTACTCCGCAAACGGCACTGACACCTACATATTGAAATAAGTCCAGTTACTAGAACAGCTTGGACCAGTAAAAGAGCCTACAGTAATGGGCAACTCGTGTCCCAGCTCACCTGTTGGCCATTGCAACCAGCAAAAAGAGGCATCTGCCCTCTGTTTGTCGATGTGCATGCCATTAGCGAAAGCAATAAACTGATTCCACTAGTGCTAACTGAAATGGAATAGTGCTTTGACATTACGCCCTGATGCTCCCAGGTAAACGAATTCTAATTAATATCTAGGTAATGGAGGAAGATTTTGTCATTCACCCAATTTGTAAGGTGTACAATTATATCAAAAACGGTTTAAGAAACCGCATGCACTTCATTTTCTATTAACCACTACTAAACTGTGCGACTGATCAATCCGAAAGCTGCTTTCAAGTCAACCCTAAGAGTAAAGGAAAAACCGATACAAAAAAATAGAATAATTAAGCACGATTTCTACACATATAATATAGATCTTTGCCAACCTAGAAGTTGAACTAAATTAAGAAATTAATTAATTCCCTTATTTTACGTTGATGCTAATTTTCCTATATATTCATGAGGCAAATATTGATCCATATTTTTTAATCTACACGCACTACACACGAAAGAGTTTCTCCTTGGCTTCACTCTACATCGACCTATTCTAGGACTTCTCAATTATTTATTACGTTATAAAAAAGCATGAATTCAAATCGAAACTACTCAAAGAAGGGCATTTCAACCGTCTGATGAAATTAATTACCTCAAGATTAGAATACCTAGGGCTATTCACAAAAATGTAGAAAACTATAAAAAAAGAGAATGTTGTAAGGTTCGCTCAAATCGAACGCATTAAACAAGGTAATTTTAATCGATTTCGCGCAAATCGTTCATGAAACTGGCTCTCAATAAATTTCTAACCAAACTAATACTCTTTTCCAATCGATATAACAGGACAACTTTGTCAGTTAGCACATACTGAATTTATAAAACGGGAAAAATTATTTTCTTCATTATTTTGCACAAATATGCTAAGCAACCCTCCTTTAGTTGGGGGTGTGCGATAGACTTACCTCCACGTGGTGCACCCTGGGCAACGTATACTCATACGGCAAAAAAGTCTATTAACCGGCATTTGACTTCTGACTTCAAACTATCATCACCCCGCTATATGTCATATACGACTACTTCCACAGTACTCGTCTTACCTTTTACTCTACCTTTGTGTCTGTTTCTGTTACATCTGTGAATCATTATTCTGTCCCCCCTTTCGACTTTTTGTCACTTTGATGTTCCTTCTCCTCTTTTTGAAGCCTGAAGTCAGCTAAATGGCTAATGATATCTATCAAAACGCCTGCCATTTGAAATAAATAAATAAATACCCTCCTTTAGTTTATTAATTGTTTTCAAGATCCTGAGTTAATCTTCAAACTACAGCCAATCTGTACAATTAAATAGATGCGATGGTTCGCATATATATATTACTAAAATCGGAAAAATTTCCTATCGAGGATGCCAATCAACAAGCATACAGCTTTCTAAGATCTCGGAAGTGGGACGGGACCATAGCAACTGTAAGCACCGTGTGTGCAAAATAAGAGATGTGTTGAGTAGTGTATCGAAGTTCACGGTGAATAATTTCATCACAC